ATTCTATGACCTATTACAGACGTCGATTTAATAATAAGCATTTTTCTAATGTGTATTTAATATTCAGCTCTTATGTTTTTTTGATCACTTATGCTCTAAATTAAATAAAAGAAAAAACACTGCGAGCATCCCCACAAATTGTGGCCCACAATACACACTAAGTGTAACGATCCAATGAGCAGATATTTTTGAATACTCTTTTATTCTCTTACCTTCTCACATTTGTTGGGAGACATATTCCGAGAATTTACGCGCCAATTGTTTACATTGCACGCACTGAAACTCCAATAGATTTGTATTGGTTAGAAAGAGATAGAACATTTCATTGACACTTGTTTCATTGCATATTTTGTGCATTCTGTTTGCAGATTTCTATTTTTATTTTGTATTTCTTTTACGTTTTTAACAAATAAAAAACTACACAACACTTTAGTATTAATATTCACTGATATGTATATTATTTATAAAGAATATTTACTTTAAAATAATTTATTAAACACAAGTTCCACGACCATCACTATTAACAATACACTCGCGACAAGATTCAAAGGACAACTAACAATGGAGTGGAGACGCGAACATACAGAAACCTAATTAGAAAAGAGAATGGGGAAAATGGGAGTAAACGGGAGAGTAAATGGGCAAATATCAATGAGAAATAATTTGTATTGGTTAGAATGTGATGTAATTGTCCATTCATGATATTCAATGTGTATTCTTTAAAAAGTGCAAAATAGAAGATGAAAACAAAATTAAAAAAAAAAAAAATTATATTATGAATGGGCCGTGAAAAATATTATTTAATAATACACACACCTATAAAGGGCCCTCAAAATACTTTTAAAAAATCCACGCCTGCTATAGGCTTTAACATTTTTTTTAAATCCACCGTCTTTAAGTCCTAAAAAATTTTTTTTTTAAATTTACGCCTACTAATAGGCTACGAACGTATTGAAATATATGCCTCCGATAGGCCTTAGAAAAATATTATTTAAAAAATTAACGCCTATAATAGAACTTAGAAAATATTCTTTTATAAAATCCACGTCCATATCAGGCATGCAAAAATAAAAGGCCTTAGAAATCTATTTTTTTTTTTAAATCCACGCCTATAGTGGTAATTTTTTTCAATTTTCAATTTCAATATTTTATGTCTAAATCCGCGCTTAGGAATGTACATTGGAAAGAAAGAACTATTTAATAAATCTAACTGAAAATATTCGGGAGAAAAAGGGAGAGAGGAGAAACGTGTTTTCAGAAAAAAATAAGAAAGAGCAAGAAAAACGTGAGCGTGAGCAAATCGAGATGTACAGGAGCCAGAATGAAGTCCGAAAATTTTACTAACGCGTAGAACACCAAACCGAAGGTTTTGGTGCAGGCACATCCTCCTGTAGAGATGAAGAAGGGAACCTGGTGACAGAAACAGACAGCGTGTTGAGGATCTGGAAGGAGCATTTTGAAAAGCTTCTGGTAAAGAATAGTTGCGGTGAAGAAGATATACCAGAACCAATAAAATATTTGGGAGAAAAGGAGAGAGGAGAACGTGTTTTCAGAAAAAGACGAAAAAACAAGAAAAACGTGAGCGTGAGCAAATCGAGATGTACAGGAGTCAGAATGAAGTCCGGAAATTTTACCAACGAGTATAACACCAAACCGAAGGCTTTGGTGCAGGCATATCCTCCTGTAGAGATGAAGAAGGGAACCTGGTGACAGATACAGACAGCGTGTTGAGGAGGAGCATTTTGAAAAGCTTGTAGTATCAAATAGTGGCGGTGAAGAAGATATCCCAGAACCAATAAGAGATGACGGTATAAAATGTATACCACCTAGCCAAGATGAGGTCAGAATAGCTATTAATCGGCTGAAGAACAATAAAGCAGCAGGTACCGATGGGTTATCAGCGGAACTATTCAAGACTGGTGGTCAGATGCTGGCCAGGAGCATGCACAACTATAGAGTAATAAGTCTCCTTCCTATTGCATATAAAGTGCTATCCAGTGTTCTGTGTGAACGACTGAAGCCAATGGTCAATGACATTATTGGACCATACCAATGCGGCTTCATACCTGACCACCATTGGCCAGATTTTCACTCTGCGCTAAATCCTGGAAAAGACCCACGAAAAACACATCGACACATACCACCTATTCGTCGACTATAAAGTCGCATTCGACAGTCCTATACGTTCAGAGGTGTTTAAAGCCATGTTTAAGTTTGGCATTCCGGCAAAATTAATACGGCTATGCAGGATAACTTTAAGTGGCACAAGGTCAGCAGTTGAAGTTGGAACGAAGCCCTTCAATACCGAACGAGAATTCAGACATAGTGACAGTTTGTGGTGTGATCTTTTTAACATCCTGCTGGAAAAGGTCATACGAGACGCAAAGATGAACAGAAATGGCATTCTGTACACCAAACAACACATGTTACTCGCCTAAGCCGATGACATCGATATAATCGATCGAACATTGAGAGCGGTAACATCCACTTTTAAACAAATTGAGAAAGAGTCTGCCAAAGTGGGTCTCGCAGTAAACGACGAGAAGACCAAGCTGATGGTATCAACGTGCAACACGTCCAGTAGACTCGGACCAACTGTGGAACTTGAGAACTACAGCTTCGAGGTAGTTAAAGATTTTATATACCTTGGTACCGAATGACATCAGTATTGAAATTCGGAATGACATCAGTTTTGAAATTCGGAGAAGGGTTGTGATGGTCTACAGATGCTACTATGGTCTAAGTAAGCCGTTAAGAAACAAGGCCACCTGCCGCCAGACCAAACTCACACTTTACAAGACGCTGATATTAACCGTGCTGTTATATGGATCTGAAGCATGGGTACTGGCGCAAGCAGATGAGGCAGCTCTTAAGGAGTTTGAAAGAAAATTTCTCCGAAAGATCTACGGGGCTATCTGCGTCGGCGGTGAATATAGGCATCAAATGAATTTATACGCAGACTTCGACATAGTCAGTCGTATTGAGCTGCAGCGACTACGGTGGCTAGGCTATGTTGTGCGAATGAATGAGAATGCCCCAGGCATCAAAAGGCATATAAAAGCGAGCATACTGATGGCCACGAATTAGATGGAAATACCAACTAGAAAACAACATCTTGGAACGTGGTCTTTCAAATTTTAGGAGATGCGCACAAGACTGAGAATATGCATAGAATCACTTTCTGAGTCGATTTACGCATATCCGTCCGTCTGTCCGTCCGTCCGTCTATTTATGATCAGATTTGGATGAAATTTGGCATAGGTCACTTATTTGGCCCAAGGACGAACCCTATTAAAATTGGGATAAATCGGTTCAGATTTAGATATAGCTACCATATATATTTTCGTCCGATTTAATGTAAATGGTGCACCAAAGTCCCTATATATCTTTCGATTTCACGAAATTTGGCACAGCGTAATGAAATTTGGTACAGCCTAATCATTTAGGTCTAGAATGATGTGTATTATGTTTCCTGAAAATCAGTTCAGAGTTAGATATAGGTCCCATATATATTTTCGTCCGATTTAATGTAAATGGTCCACCAATGTCTGTATATATCTTTCGATTTGCACGAAATTTGGCACAGCGTAATGTATTAGGTATAGAATGATGTGTATTAAGTTTCCAGAAAATCGGTTCAGATTTAGTTATAGCTCCCGTATATATTTTCGTCCGATTTAATGTAAATGGTGCACCAAAGTCCCTTAAAATCTTTCGATTTGAACGATTTTTGGCACAGCGTAACGAATTAGATCTAGAATGATGTGTGTTAAGTTTCGCGAAAATCGTTTCAGATTTAGATATAGCTCCCATGTATATTTTCGTCCGATTTAATGTAAATGGTGCACCAAAGTCTCTATATATCTTTCGATTTCACGAAATTTGGCACAGCGTAATGAATTAAGTCTAGAATGATGTTTGTTAAGTTTGCTGAAAATCGGTTCAGATTTAGATATAGCTCCCGTATATATTTTCGTCCGATTTAATGTAAATGGTCGACCAAAGTCCACATATATCTTTTTATTTGCACGAAATTTGGCATAACGTACTGAGTTGACCCTAGACATCACTGCCTGCTATGTTTCATGAAAATCGGTCCAGATTTAGATATAACTCCTATATATATTTTCGTCCGATTTAATGTAAATGGTACACCAAAGTCCCTATATATATTTCGATTTGCACTAAATTTGACACAGCGTAATGAGTTAGGTCTAGAATGATGTGTGTTAAGTTTCGTGAAAATCGGTTCAGATTGAGATATAGCTCCCATATATATTTTCGTCCGATTTAAGTTAAATATTGTACCACAGTCCCTTTATATCTTTCGGTTACAGCATTTGGTACAGCGTAATGAATTGCAGAATGACATGTTGATGAATCCAATTTCATTTTACTGGTCCTTTAAAAACGCGACGTCTGTTAGGATTCATCTGTTGAATATACCCAAAGTAAAGTCCGTCCGACTTTACTACTTTCCTTACTGGTTTAATGCTCGGCTTATGGAACAACCGTTCTGTATTTTGAACTATTTTTTTTTTTATTTCTTAAATTTATTGTTTTTACATAACAGAAGTGAATTTAATAAGTTCTTATCTAAAAAAAATAAATGTAAACAATAATCAAAGATACTAAATATATTCGGGTCATAATATATGGGACTGGATAACGATTAGAAAAATTTAACAATTTTTTTACAAAACAAAACAAAAGCAAACCTGTTTCTTTTAAAACAGCGGATCGTACTTATTATCTAAATATTAAAATTATTTTTTTGTCTTTATAATTAAAAATAAACATTAACATTGTTTTATTCTAATCACATTGTGTAATAAAAAGCACAGCAATACCCCGAATATTTTGTTTTGTATATAAACAATGCTTATATCTCTCACTTTTATATTTGTTACTTTTATTGGACTTTTGGAATTTATTTCGTTAGATTATTAACAATTTTTTCTTAAACTAAAAATACTCTAAGGATTAAAATTTATTTCCGATTTTTTATAAATGCGTATTTGTTTCCGATTTCGCATCGGCCGTGCTCTCAACAACATCGGGCATAAATGCCTTATTATCGAGTCCACCATTTTGACAGGTGCTGCCTTCGACTCGACAACTGTGATCACAGATATGTTCGTGTAGGACACTGCTAACAATGCCATTCAAATGACCCTTGGCTTCCGAGGCCAAGGCAATGGCATCCATGGTACTAATATTGCCATTGGGATCTTTGCTCTCCGCCAAATCTTTACATGCCTCAGCGGTGTCCAGAGACTTTCGTTTGCGCAATTGTTGGCGTTGGAAATTGTACATCCACCTAAAAAAATAATTTATTTTAAATTAGAAAAGAATAAAAAAGAATATTTTACAAAAACTCACAAAAATATTATAACAGCCAATATGGTAATGGCACCACCGAGTATATAGAATGCTCCCGGGAAGACCTTAATTGTTGCCGCATACAGCGTACTATACATGGGAGCATAGACCACCGGCATAAGGGCCTCAGCAACACCAAACAGTGAATTCACCTTACCCAATTCATCTTTGGATACCAATTTTGTGGCCATCGAACGCATAGCAATGAAAGATGTTCCATTGAATATTTCAACAATGGCTCCGACATACATATGCCATGGCAGGGTAGCGAAGGCATAAACGAATCCAGATAAAATTTTTGATGTACTTGAGAGGACACCGATAAGGGCATCATCTAGCTTCAGCTTATGTGAGAGGATACCGACACAGAAGAGGACACCTGAAAAACAAAAGATTTTGAAATAATTGAAGAAAAATCAAAGAAAATTATAGGCGTGGATTTTTTAAAGAATTTTTTCAGGAACCAACTTAGGCGTGGATTGCTTTAAAATATTTTTTCAAGAACCAACTTAGGGTGGATTTTTTAAAAATATTTTTTTCAAGGACCAACTTTGCTGTGGATTTTTTTAAGAATATGTTTTCAAGCGGGGATTTTTTTAAGAATATTTTTTCAAGACCCATGCAAAGCGTGGATTTTTAAGAATATTTTTCAAGACCCATACAAGGCGTGGCGTTTTTATACTCTTCACCACACTGTGGTACAGGGTATTATATCTTTGTGTATATGTTTGTAACAGACAAAAGGAAACGAGATAGACCCATAGTTCATTTTGGGAATATGCATAGAATCACTTTCTGAATTTGGCACAGCTCATTTGTTTGGCCCAAGCTCGAACCCTATTGAAATTGGGAAGTTTCGTTGAAATCGGTTCATATTTGGATAAAGCTTCCATATATATTTTCGCCCGATTTTAAGTAAATTGGGCGTGAAACTCCTCGTGTTAGTCAGATTGACATCAAATTTTGCACAACGTATAACATTGAGCATAGAATTACGTAGGTGTGTTTTGTAGAACTACAGACATAGCCCAACGGATGACCTATTGATATTGGATAGATCTATGTAGATTCACATTTAGATAAATATCATATATTTTATTTCATCCAATTTCAGGACAATGTTTAATATACCCATAGTGGTGAAGGGTATCATATAGTCGGCCCCATCCGACTTTACTACTTTCCTTACTGGTATAAAAAGATTTTTCAAGACCCTACAAGGCGGGAGTTTTAAAGCATATTTGTTCTTACCGACTAGACCAGTAACCACAGCAAAGGTATTGAAAACACTAAAATCAACTTCGTTCCAATTGAAGCGATAGCGGGTGAACAGGTACATTACATTCATTTCACCTAAAAGAAGAACATTGTTAAAATTGTCTTCTTGATTCGCAAAAATCAAAACCTACCATAAATGGGTCCAATGACAACCATAACAACGATCATAAGTAAAATAACACGGGCACGTCTCTTATTTTCACCCTTCTTAAAGGCTACACGGAATGTCTCGATCACATGTTCCTTATCGAAGAAATCGGCCAGTAGATTTCTGGGCTTATGTTTATCTTCGGGCTGAATGCAACGTGGTCTCGGCTCAGGCAAAAAGAAGAAGCCGTAGAACAAGGACACAACATATAAACTGGCCGAAATTGAGAAGACACCATAGAAACCAATTTTTCTAAAAGAGAAAAAAAATTAGAAATTAATTTATTTAAAATTTCTAGGGGTACTTACTTTAGCAACACCCCACTCAGAGCCGTTCCTATGGGCACACCAACCGAAAAGCATACATTCAAGATACCAATACGTAAGGTACGCTCCTCCTCCGTTGTGATATCGGCAATATAACTGAACACACCCATTAGCATAACAAACCACCCTCCGCTCAGCGAAGGAAATATGGCCTCAGTCAAACCCGCTACCTCCATTGGGGTGTCTTTAAAATACACACACAAGATAAGACCCACTGTACCCAAAAATTCTCCAACAATTGGTATTAGAATACAGGGTTTCCGACGATGATGGCGATCACTCCACGAACCCCAAAATAAAATTAACAAACACGGGAACAGGGATTGTATCACAGTTTTCCAGGCCACCATGTGAGCAACCATTTTTTGGATGGTCTCCTCTTCCCTGAAAGGCAAATATTTTCGATTATTAAATATCTTAAGGACATCGAGATTTTTCAACTTACATGGTATAATTTGTTGTCTCTCTCCGCGTCAGAGCATCACACACCACATCGCCATAGTCCATGTTAACTCGACACGCCTTTTCCAGATTCAAATTTTGTGTTGCCAAATTGGACAGAACACTGGGCATGATGTAGGCGGCCACAATGGGTTCCACTGTTATGTTCTTGATGACCTTTTGCATTTTCTCTCGCCATGTTAAGGGTGTTGCTGTTGTTTCGGTTGTTGCGCAGATCTGGTCCTGAGCCTTGGAAGGCTCATTTGTGGCGACCATTTTTTAAAACTGAAAGAACAAAAGAACTAATTAGTAAATTTGGATCATCTATAAACGTGATTTTTTAAATAATTCAAGGTGTGGATTTTTAAAGAATATTTTTCGAGCACCAACGCGAGACGTGCATTTAAAAAAATATGTTTGCAAGGATCAGACAAGGCGTGGATTTTTTAAAGAATATTTTTTAGAGGACCAGCCATACAAGGGGTGGATTTTTCAAAGAATATTTTTTCAGAGGACCATTTTTTAAAAAATATTTTTTCAGAGAACCATCCATACAAGGCGTGGATTTATTAAAGAATAATTTTTCAGAGGACCAGCCATACAAGGCGTGGATTTTTTAAAGAATATTTTTTCAGAGGACCAGCCATACAAGGCGTGGATTTTTTAAAGAATATTTTTTCAGAGGACCACCCATAAAAGGTGTGGATTTTTTCAAAGAATATTTTTTCAGAGGACCAGCCATACAAGGCGTGGATTTATTAAAAGAATATTTTTTCAGAGGACCAGCCATACAAGGCGTGGATTTATTAAAAGAATATTTTTTCAGAGGACCAGCCATACAAGACGTGGATTTTTTAAAGAATATTTTTTCAGAGGACCAGCCATACAAGGCGTGGATTTTTTAAAGAATATTTTTTCAGAGGACCATTCATACAAGGCCTGGATTTTTTAAAGAATATTTTTTCAAGGACTACCACAAGGCGTGGATTTTTTAAAGAATATTTTTTCAAGGACTACCACAAGGCGTGGATTTTTTAAAGAATATTTTTTCAAGGACTACCACAAGGCGTGGATTTTTTAAAGAATATTTTTCAGAGGACCATCCATACAAGGCGTGAATTTTTTTAAAGAATATTTTTTCAGAGGACCATCCATACAAAGCGTGCATTTTTTAAAGAATATTTTTTCAGAGGACCATCCATACAAGGCGTGAAATTTTTTAAAGAATATTTTTTCAGAGGACCATCCATACAAAGCGTGCATTTTTTAAAGAATATTTTTTCAGATGAACATCCATACAAGGCGTGGATTTTTTAAAGAATATTTTTCAGAGGGCCATCCATACAAGGCTTGGATTTTTTAAAGAATATTTTTTCAAAGGACCATCCATACAAGGCGTCGATTTTTTAAAGAATACTTTTTCAGAGGACCATCCATACAGGCGTGGATGTTTTAAAGAATACTTTTTCAGAGGACCAGCCATACAAGGCGAGGGTTTTTACACCCTTCACCACACTGTGGTACAGGGTATTATGTCTTTGTGCATATGTTTGTAACAGGCAAAAGGAAACGAGATAGACACATGTTTCCTTTTGATAATATGCATAGAATCACTTTCTAAGTCGATTTATACATGTCCATCTGTCCATGTTAAATTGTAAACAAAGTACAGGTCGCATTTATGATCCGAATTGGATGAAAATCGGTTCAGATTTAAATATAGCTCTCATATATATGTTAGCCCGATTTAATGCAAATGGTATACCAAAGACCCTATATATTCTTCGATTTGGGCGAAATTTGGCACAGTGTACTAAATTGGGTCTAGAATGATGTGTGTAAAATTTCTTGAAAATCGGTTCAGATTTAGATATAGCTCCCATATACATTTTCGTCCGATTTAAGGTAAAAGGGGCACAAAGTCCCTATATAACTTTCGATTTGAACGAAATTTGGCATAGAGTACTGAATTAGGTCCAAAATGATGTGTGCCAAGTTTCGAGAAAATCGGTTCAGATATAGATATAGCTCCCATATATATTTTCGTCCGATTTAAGGTAAACAGGGCACCAAAGTCCCTATATATCCTTCGATTTGCATGAAATTTGGCATAGGGTACTGAATTACGTCCAGAATGCTGTGTGCTAAATTTGGTGAAAATCCGTTCAGATATAGATATAGCTCCTATATATATTTTCGTCCGATTTAAGGGAACCCCCATTCTCGATTTTAATTGTTCAAGATTTTCAATGGGCTGGTAAATCAATACCAATGCTTGTTAAGGTTTGTAACTTTACACATATATAATTGAAGATTTAAAAGAGAAGAAAAATAATTTACAAAAAAATTTTGTTATTGTTTTGTTGTTGTTTTTTGTAATTAAAGAAAAGTCCTTATTTTCGATGGCGGGCATGATAACTCCTCACTGGAACATCGGAATCCAAAAATTCCAACGGTGTTAGAAAGAGTACATGTCTGGCTCTCGTATGAACTAGGATTATTGACTTCGCTCTAAAATTAACAAAATGGTGGAGCTTTGAAAAAATATTTTTGGAAAATCGCCGATTTTTTACCAAAACCCAAGTCAAAAAATAAGGAAGATCTTCACCGATTGGCTTTATCCTAGTTCCTACGATAGCTACACACTCACAGAGAATCGTGTAAAAATTTGAAGTCCATTGGGTTATTAGTTTTTGAGTTATCGTGCCCGCCAGTCGCAAAAAAATGTTTAGAGAAAAACGCGTTTAAAGTTTGAGAAGCCCTTCAGCCGTCACTTGATGCTGACAAAATAAATCGGCTATATCTTCAAGACTTCTTGAGATTTTCATTTGAAATTTTGTAGGGACATTCTTTAATTAGTGTAGATTCGAATTATATCAACAAAATTTTTGACCCCGAGAATGGGGGGGGGGGGTCCCCTTAAGATAAATGGGACACCAAAGTCCCTATATATATTTCGATTTACACGAAATTTGGCAAAGCGTAATGAATTAGGTCTAGAATGAAGTGTGTTAAGTTTCCTGAAATCGTTTCAGATTTCGATATAGCTTCTATATCTGACCAAAAATTTAGTATCGGTTGCAGAATGACATGTTTATGGTTCAAATTTCATTTTACTGGTCCTTTAAAAATGCGGCGTCTGTTAGGGTTCATCTGTTGAATATCCCCAAAGTGGTGAAGGGTATCATATAGTCGGCCTCGTCCGACTTTACTACTTTCCTTACTAGTTAAGAATAAGAATATTTTTGGAGGACCGGACAAGGCGTGGATTTTTTTAAGAATTTTTTTTTTTGGAGGACCAGATTTTTAATGAATATTTTTCAGGGAACCTGATAAGGCGTGGATTTTTTTAAGAATTATTTTTGGAGGACCAGATTTTTAAAGAATATTTTTCTGAGAACCTGATAAGGCGTGGATTTTTTAAAGAATGGTGGATTTTAAATAATATTTTTCAGTGGAGCGGATTTTAAATAATATTTTTATAAGACCATCCAAGGCGTGGTTTTTTAAATAATATTTTTAGAAGACCATATCATTCCATAGGGATCTTCTGGTTGGTCTTCTATAAAGAAGACTTTGTCGTCTTCTATACAAAATATTTTCAGGTCATAAGAAAAGTTTCTTGTTCTTCTATAGAAAAGTCCTACTGGTTTTCAAGAAGGTATTCAATAAGCAGACCTTAGAGTCATACATAAAAGCAGCCCTTTTTATCTTCTCTGATAAGACTTACTGGCATTCTTCTTAGTTCCCACAATCATCGGCAACATCCAATAAAATATTTTGTTTTATTTATTTTTTTGTATTTGCACATATAATTAATGCAAGTAGCTGTCCCAGATTATTGTTCACTTCCAGTGAATTTAATTAGCAATTCATAAATAATTTTCAAAAAGTAACAAAAAATCTGAGTAATTTTTTAGCTATATATTGACGTTCCATAAACAATTTGCATGAGCTTAAAAAACAATCAATGCCTTATATTGTCTTCACAACATTGTTGTATAGTCTGATCCGATGAAACAGGTGGTTGGTAGGTGGCAGGAAATACTCTCAGCCAGCGCTTAGCTACAACACATTTAATTCCATAAAAAATACAAATTGTTTTAGGGTTTGGAGCTGTGAAAATTGTGTTGCCAATTGATTATCTTCTAGAAGAATGTCGTTCCCACCAATGATGGAGGTGTAATTTGCAGGGAGTACTCTATTTTCTGTTATGTGAACAGGTGTTAACAAATATTTACATTTCAATATTGAAATGTTATTTTTCGAATCAAAGTTTATGGGTCGTAGATCCACAAAGAGAAAATTAAGCTAAGCAACTTCACAAAAATTCTTTAGATAAGTTGTATGGAAGTATATCGACATTAATTTTCTTTTACTACCTCTAGGAATTTTTTTCATTTGAAAAAATTTCCCATTTCCACTTATTTAAGTGTGAACAGTAAAAATACATTGCTTTTAATTACAGCTCGCGATTTCACACAACAGCTGTTCGTTCGCTCATCCATTAATTAAGCCATAGGTACCTGTGTGGTGTAAATAAATTAAGAAAGAAAACAAAAACAATACAACCAAACCATCAACAAATTCAAATAAAACAATAAATTCATTTGATTTTTTTCAAAATCCCTACACAATGATAAAAATTGTAGTACTAGCACAGATTTTTGTTCAGCTCACACAGTTTTAATCGAATGAATGATACATCTTCTCATCGTGCTGCTGACGTTTTGGATGAGCCAGTGATTATTTCATTTCAGTTTGGCGTTTTCACAGTTTCATTTTTATAACACATTTCTTAATTAAAAATCATGTAATTTACAAAAGTACTGCTGTTGCTACTTGTGGTTATCGTAGTTGTAGTTAGTTGTTGTTGGTTGGTTTTTTATTAATTTTTTGTTTTGCTTTGTAGCTGACAGTTGTAGTTCAGTTCAGTTCTGTTTTGTTTTTTTATTTTTTAATTTTTTGCTGGCGCCTATAAACATGCTTTTCATTTACGTTGTTATATTGCAAAAAAAATGTTTAATTTCATTGTCATTGTTTAGTGAAAAATTGTAAAATTGAAACAACTAAAAATGTGATGTTCGGCCGAACCGAACTGTTTATACCTTTCATCATGTGGTGGACATTCAAAATACCTAAAGTCGATCGGGACTTTTATTTTGGGGGGCTATGTCATGCTAAATTGTTGCCAAGAGAAAACGAAATACCAAAGTGCAGGTACTCAGGTGGAAAGTTGGGCTAAGGCCTCCAATATACAGAAAACGTGGACTTAA